CCCATATCGGTAAACAATTGACGCGCTTTGTCGCTATTTACAACACTGGTTATAAAACTGACTTCCAAGCCAAGCTTGAGTTCTTGAAAATCAACCTCTAGCTCGGGGAACACACCTTGGTCTGTGAATCCTAAATGATAGTTGCCAAATTCATCGAATTGCCGTAAGTTCAATCCTTGGAAATCTTTAACTTGAGGAAGAACCAGGTGAATTAGTTTATCGACGAAGGCATACATTTTTTGTCCGCGCAGGGTGACTTTCATACCTGTGACCATATTTTTTCTCACTTTGAAGGCGGCTATGGACTTTTTTGCCCGGGTTAAAACTGGTTGCTGTCCCGTAATTGATCGGAATTCCTCTATGCTTTGTTTTAACACTTTACTATCTTGAGCTTTTATTCCTAGACTTCTGTGCACAATTACTTTCGTGAGCTTGGGTGTGCACACACGTTCCCTGAAGGAGCCCTTTCCCTGGATACGTGGTTTTTGTATGTCTCTTATAGATTGGGTAAGCATCGAGTATGAAAAGCAGCGGTTTTCTAACTAAAAAGTCGGTAAAATTTACCTTCACAGAACTTCCTCAGCCAGAGAAATTAACTTCAGCATTTTTTTGTCTCTCACCTCTCGTGCCACAGGCCCGAAAATACGTGACCCTACGGGATCATAATTGTTGTTCACCACTACAGCGGCGTTGTCACTGAAGTAGAGCTGGGATCCATCTGGTCTGTTAATGGGCTTTTTGGTTCGCACCACTACGGCTTTAACAAGGTCTGACTTCTTAACTGGCATATCAGGATAAGAATTTTTTACGACACCCAGAATTACGTCTCCAACAGTGGCTGTCTTCCCTTTGCTGCTTATAATACCGATGCAAAGTATTTGCTTTGCGCCGCTATTATCTGTCACTAGGAGCCTAGTTTGTTTTTGGACCATTTCAATCTTAGCTTTTATGTAACTTCACCGTTCTGGATTCAACTCCACTCGAGGTTGCGTCAAACACTACTATGTTTTAAGTGAGGTTCGGGGTAACAATCTTATTAATTTCCAGTTTTTCCTTCGACTTTGAGGGCGAGTCACTTCAACCAACACACAGTCCCCTAATTCAGCCTCTTGACGTTCGTCATGCACTAAAACACTTTTGCTTCTCAATGTTTCGTTTTCATATTCTGGGTCCTTAGCCTTAATCGGTATAAGGACCGTAATAGTCTTATTCATTGACACACTGGTCACAAAACCTACTAACTCGCTAACCATGTTTGGGCCGAAATGATACCCACAGTAAAATTGTTGCTCATTTCAAAACACACTACGGTATACTTTGTTTTCACACAGGATCGGGGTCCTCAAAGAGAACGATAGATAATTTTTGTTGAGATTCCGAACTTGAATGCCGCAGCACGAAACGCTTCCAAGGCCAAATCAAAGCCTACGTCGGTCAACTCAAACAGGACGTCATTTTTTTTGACCACAGCCGCCCAGTGGTCCACCGCGCCTTTTCCTGAGCCCATCCTGGACTCGGCTACTCGAGCAGTGATAGGCTTGTCGGGAAAAACTCTGATCCACAGCTTTCCTACACGACGAGTTCTCCTGACTATTACTCGTCGAGCAGATTCTATTTGTTTGGCAGTTAGGTGCCCCGATTCTCTAGCTTGTAGCCCCCAGACACCGAATTCTAAAAACTGGCCCGAAGAAGCCTTACCTCTCAACCTACCTCTTTGTTGTTTTGGAAACTTCGCGTTTTTGGGTTGCAGCATTTTCTTAGTTTTATTTTGAGCTTTCCCACATTAAACACTACGCCAATTCTGAAATATTTTGTTTCTTTTAGTATCGAGCTACCCAAACCTTTATCCCCAGAACACCAGACGAAGTGCGGTAATGACGGCAACAATAGTCAACTGGAGCCGAAATAGTATGTAAAGAGACCTTACCAAAACTTAACTGCTCACTGCTAGCCATTTCGGCGTTATTTAATCTTCCCGACAGCCGGACTCGGACTCCCTGAACGCGAAAACTACCTACCTTTTGATTTAAAGCAGTCTGAGCCCACAGCTTGACGGCTCTGCGAATAGCAACGCGTTTCTGAAGGCTGGCCTGAATAGCGGTAGCTAAAAAATCCGGACGGTGATAAGATGCTTTTACAAGTTTTATCTGTACACTAACAGGCTGCGAAAGAAAGATTTTTCGAGCCCGCAGCCTTACTTGTAGGTTTCGTGGCCAATCCAGCAAGGTCTTTAAGGACTCTTTCAAATTGCTGGCATGACTTATCTTGAATGTCTGAGTAATAGTGGGGTGTACGCGCGGACTCAAATTCATGTATAAATAGTCCGGATAAGGAAGAAACAGCGTAAGAATGAGTCTGTTAGACTGTGTTAAGAACACTTTGACCTGGACCAAATCCAATGAGGTTGCCAAAGACTGAACAGCCTGGCGAAGAGCAAAGTCTGTATGGAGTTTGTTAGCATAATCGGAGCTAAGTTTAAATTTTGACGAAAGTGGAGCATACCATCCACCTGACCGGTTTACTAGCTTGGCTCTCAGGCCAACAGGATTAATTTTTTGTCCCATGTTTATATCAACAAGGCGATTCTTGGACATCGAACACTACACAGAGCAAAACTGTTGGTATTAACTATTAACGCTTCCCGCGTTTGTCTTTTTTCAGATGAGAGCGAAACGTTCTTGTAGGCACAAATTGACCCAGTCTATATCCGACTTTATTGTCCGTTATATAGACTGGAACATGCTTCTGTCCATCGTGCACCTCAATGGTTAAGCCCAGCATCCCGGGAGTAACAATTGCCTGTCTGGACCACACTAATACTGAGCTCTGCTTTTTTCTGCTGAATTGCAGGTGCGCTAGAGTTCGTATCGAACCCAAACTTAAATGAGTGGCTTTCCAACGTGATCTGGCCATGATACATCTGTGATGGTTTTAACCTCATGATTATGTGGATACCGGTCAAGGCGTTTATCGATAACGCGGTTTTAAAATGAGTTTACTAGCAGGCCGGCTAGTTTTTCGAGTTCTCCCTCCGAAAGCTGATTTACCCCATGGCGTCGAAGGGACCTTTCGACCAACCGGACACCGCCCTTCTCCACCTCCATGTGGGTGATCGGTCGGATTCATAGCTGAGCCTCGAACTCTGGGTCTTCGACCCAGCCAGCGGTTACGCCCCGCTTTACCCTTAGTTGTTTTATTGTGCGAGGGTGTGTTAATACAGCCTATAACTGCGTAGCACTCCTTAGGGACTAACCGCACTTCCTGTGAGGGAAGTCGGATAGCCGCATGTTTTTCATCTACCAAAAGCAGTTGAGCCTTCGTCCCGGCAGCTCGAACCAACTGAGCGCCTCTTCCGGGCATGAGCTCGATGCAGCAAATTTCTGACCCCGGGGAGATTTTCCATAGGGGTAAGATGTTACCAGGCTTGAGGCTTGCGCTGTCCCCGATTTCGACTACATCCCCAACCTGAAGGTTGTCCGTTGGAATCATGTAACGCCTCTCGGTGGAAAGTTTGCCGTCTAAAAACAAAATGACAGCTAAATAAGCTGTTCGGGCGGGGTCATACTCTAACTCGACAACGGCTCCGCGAGTAGCTAACGTGCCACGCTTGGCGAACCAAAAGTCGATGTTCCTGCACAGCAGTTTGCCCCTGCCTCCACGGAACCTAGAGGTTATGCGACCTGAATTAGAGCGTCCCTGCTTTGAGACTTTGGGAAGGATTAAAGCTTTCTCTGTTTTTCCAGGGCTAAGGAATCCCATTTTGATGCTTTTTAAGTGGCGTTTAGAAGGAGTAGTTGCTTTGTGAGAACGCATCTTCTGTAATAAATAATATTAGTAACGAATTGTCTGTTAACACTACTGAACACAAAAAAGCTGATCCGATGCAGGGCCTAGTATGATACCCACTCTTTTAAGCGCGTCTTATTCTTAAATGTCACCTGAACTATCTTTAGTTTGCTTCTAGCAGCCATCTTTCTGGTATTACCACGCGTGCGCTGAGTTTTTAGCAGTGAACGTGTTTGTACGCTTTCCACAGGTGTGTCCATGAGAAACTCCAACACAGCTTTTATTAAAGGTTTGTCCAAGTGGCGATCGACAGTGAAGGTGTAGCTATTTTTGGTGGCTAGCATTACCGACTTAGAGGTTAGCTTCAGTCCCTTGAATGATTCGAGAAAAGACGTCACATAGATGTCATGTACCATTGGGCTAGCTTTTAGTGTTTTGCTTGCCTTGTAATCTAAACACTACCTCTTAGCTTTAGGGCATTTAAATAATGTTGAGGGCCAACTATTAATGCAACTTTTTCTGCACGTAGGATGTCTATACATTTTACAGTAGACCGAGAACGTACAGTTACTTTCATGTCGTCTTCAAAAAAGGCTCTCCGATAGGTATCTAAACAAGTTCCATTGGGGACGACAAAAAGCCAGCTTTTGTCTTGTAATATATGTCTTAGACCTTTTAGTAAAACTTTCCGTGAAGGCAAAGGGTTAGGGTTAATCTCCCAAGCCCAAGGAGCAAGCATCAACACTAAGTTCTCATGCTTGAGCTTATCATAGAGAACGTAGTTTAAAGCGGCTTTCCACAACTTTTTATTACGCTTTTGAGTACCGGAAGTCCGTTCACCTCGTGGCCCAAACACTACTCCTCCTCCCTTCCAGAGAGGGCCTGTCTTGGACCCGGCTCGGGCCCTTCCGGTTCCTTTTTGCCGCCATAGCTTGCGTTTGGACCCAGAAATACTCGATCGCCCTAACGTATGCCCGGGCTGCCCTGCGGGAGAAATTTCTTGGCTTAAAGCTTTCCTAACCATGCTCGTTTCCACACGTCCGCCAGAAGATAAGATTTTGAAATAAATCATGGTGCCTCGAGGAAATCGGTATTTTTGACAATAATTCATCTGCCAGACACTTGCGGGCTTTCGTTTCCTAATGGCTTTTTCTGCAGACATATGGTTACTCAGCATAATATTTGAAGACACCAGACCAACCGTAACACCTTAATCGGAGCGACAGGATTTGAACCTGTGACCCTCTGCTCCCAAAGCAGATACGCTACCAAACTGCGCTACGCCCCGGCCTCATCAGGAAATGCAAAAAAATAACCGCTCCCAAGGGGGTTCGAACCCCTGTTGTCTCCGTGAAAGAGAGACGTCCTAGGCCTCTAGACGATGGGAGCTATATAATCGATATACTAGGATATATGCTTTAAGCGCTTACACTCTTAACTTTTTGTACCCATGAGATTAGCGATATGGAAGACAGAACGCTTTTGCCAGTGATCCCCCTGCCCTATCTTTGGCTAGACTAAAAATAGAGTAAAAAATACTTAACATGTTTGCGGTGCTGTGTCTTGACCTGGAAGCAACCGAGCATACTATACAATGTCTCTCTAGAAAGCAGTGCACTCTTTAGGTCATGGGTCAATCACCACTCCCAGACATGAAGTCTCTTACTGAACGTCACACACCAGCCACTCTGGATCGTTGGGCCCAACCCGGACATTTTTCTCGAACCCTGTCCAAGGGACCCAAATCCACCACGTGGATTTGGAATCTCCACGCCGATGCACATGACTTTGACACACAATTTGGTGATCTGGAAGAAGTGTCACGCAAGGTGTTCGGAGCCCATTTCGGCCAACTAGCAGTCATTTTCTTGTGGTTGAGTGGGATGCACTTTCATGGAGCTTATTTTTCTAACTACAGCGCCTGGATGGCCGATCCTCTTCGCGTGAAGCCTAGTGCGCAAGTAGTTTGGCCTTCAGTGGGCCAAGACATTTTGAATGCCGACCTTGGAGGTAATACTACTGGGCTCCAGATCACCTCGGGCTTTTTTCAGCTCTGGCGCTCAGAAGGGATTACTAATGAATTTGAGCTCTACTTCACATCTTTCGGAGCCGCTCATATGGCAGCTTTGATGGTGCTAGCAGGATGGTACCACTTCCACATTTCTGCGCCTCGCTTAAGCTGGTTTCAGAACGTGGAGTCAATGTTAAACCACCATTTAGCCGGATTGTTAGGACTTGGCTGCCTTTCTTGGGCGGGTCATCAAATTCATGTTGCTGCACCTATCAACATGCTCTTAGATCTAGGGTTTACTGGAAAAGAATTGCCCTATCCTTTCGAGTTCATTACTAATAGATCACTGATGGCTCAGCTCTATCCTAGCTTTGAGAAAGGGCTGCTACCGTTCTTCACCCTGCAGTGGGGCGACTACGCTGATTTTTTAACCTTTAAAGGAGGGCTAAACCCAACTACAGGAGCTTTGTGGCTAACTGATTGTGCTCATCACCACTTGGCCCTGGCGGTTCTGTTTATTGTAGCCGGCCATATGTATAAAACCAGTTGGGGAATCGGCCACAAAATTAAGGATATTCTAGAAGCCCACAAGGGACCATTAACAGGTAAAGGCCACGCTGGTCTGTACGAACTGTTGACAACGTCTTGGCACGCTCAACTGGCGATTAATTTGGCTATGCTGGGGTCTTTAAGCATAATTGTGGCTCACCATATGTATGCTATGCCTCCTTACCCTTACATTGCGGTAGACTATGCCACACAGCTTTCTTTATTTACTCATCATGTCTGGATTGGCGGTTTCTGTATAGTTGGTGCTGGGGCGCATGCTGCTATCTGCTTGATTCGCGACTTTAATCCAATTTCTATTGAAAACTATGACAACGTGTTGGATCGTGTGCTTAAGCACCGTGATACCATTATTTCTCATTTAAACTGGGTATGTATTTTCCTGGGCTTTCATAGTTTTGGCTTATATATTCACAACGATACAATGCGTGCGCTCGGTCGTTCTAGAGACATGTTTTCTGACTCAGCTATCTCACTTCAGCCTATTTTTGCACAGTGGGTTCAGCATTTGCACAGTAGTGCGGCTAGTGCCACAGCTCCTAACACCCTGTCAACTCCTAGCTATATCTTTGGAGGAGAAACAATTGCCTTGGCCGGAAAAGTGGCTGTCATGCCAATGACACTAGGCACAGCCGATTTCTTGGTCCACCATATCCATGCCTTCACAATTCATGTGACCGCACTTATTCTACTGAAAGGAGTCTTGTACGCTCGCAGCTCTAAACTCATCCCTGATAAAGCTCGCTTGGGGTTCCGCTTTCCTTGCGATGGGCCAGGGCGCGGGGGAACTTGTCAAGTTTCCAGCTGGGACCATGTATTCTTAGGTTCTTTTTGGATGTATAATTCTCTCTCTATCGTTATTTTCCACTTCTTCTGGAAAATGCAATCTGATGTGTGGGGATCTGTATCGTCTGACGGGGTCGTTTCTCATGTTACTGGAGGGAATTTTGCCCAGAGTGCCATAACTATCAACGGCTGGCTAAGAGACTTTTTATGGGCTCAGGCTGCTCAAGTTGTACAGTCTTATGGAAGTGCGAGCTCTGCATACGGATTGATTTTCTTAGGGGCTCATTTCGTTTGGGCGTTTAGTTTGATGTTCTTGTTCAGTGGTCGGGGCTACTGGCAAGAGCTCATAGAATCCATTGTATGGGCGCACGAAAAAGTCAGTGTTATGCCAGTGATTCAACCTCGAGCTCTTAGTATCACTCAAGGACGAGCTGTGGGACTAGCTCATTATCTACTGGGTGGTATTGGCACCACCTGGGCCTTCTTTTTAGCTAGGTCTGTGTCGCTTTAAGCTTAGACGAGTATATTTTGCAAACGGTCTGGAAAAAACATAACCATTGTTGAGCAGGGCGTGAAGATCAGATTTGGGTTAGTTTAACTTTTTAATGGTAGCGCAGAGGGCCACACCATCATACACTGCCTCTTTCTCTCCATCCAGATCCGTACGTTGGCCTGCTTTTAGCGAGGGCCTAGCGAAAGACCCTACCACACGACGATTATGGTACGGTCTTGCCACAGTTCACGACTTAGAGTCTTACGATGGGGCCACAAAAGAAAAGACTTACCAAGCCATTTTCGCTTCGCACTTTGGACACTTGGCAGTAATTTTCTTGTGGACCTCAGGCAACCTATTTCATGTGGCTTGGCAGGGTAATTTTGAGGCGTGGGTCGCTGACCCCACCAACACTCGCCCTATTGCTCATCGTATTTGGGATCCCCACTTTGGCGAGGCAGCTACTAAAGCGTTTACTCCACAGGGGGCTCCGTATCCGGTAAACATTTCTTATTCGGGAGTGTACAACTGGTGGTACACGATTGGGCTACGTACGGATACAGACCTGTATGCCTCTGCATTAGGCTTAGTGTTATTGGCGGGACTAATGCTTTTTGCAGGAACCTTGAAGCTTCAGCCTAAGTTTAGGCCGCCCCAAAGCTTTTTCGAAAATAATGAATCTCGTCTTAACCATCATATTGCAGGGCTATTCGGCTTTAGTTCGATTGCCTGGGCCGGACATCTAGTACATGTGGCTCTTCCCGAATCTCGTGGTCAACACGTAGGATGGGACAATTTCTTATTTACACCGCCCCACCCAGATGGTTTAGGTCCCTTATTTAAAGTCTTTGGCTTTAATGGTGGTGGTGGTGTTGTACCGGTACCGGGAAACTTTGGCCTGTCCTGGACACAATATGCTCTAAATCCAGACGCCCCTGGCCACATATTCAACAGCGATATCGGCTCGGGCACTGCCATCCTAACCTTCTTGGGAGGCTTTGACCCATACACTCAGTCTTTGTGGTTAAGCGACATAGCTCACCACCACTTAGCTTTAGGAGTCGTGCTAGTGGTTGCCGGGCACATGTATCGCACTAACTGGCAAAAAGGGCATAGTTTAAAGGCCATTTTAGAAGCTCATGTCCCCCCAAGTGGAATGCTGGGAGAAGGTCATAAGGGGTTATTTGAAACTATTACTGATTCGCTTCACTTGCAGCTCTGCTTTGCTTTGGCCGCCCTGGGAGTAGCTACTTCCCTAGCAGCCCAACATATTTATGCTCTTCCAGCTTACGCGTTTTTGGACAAGGACTTAGTGACCCAATCAGCTCTCTACACGCATCATCAGTATATTGCAGGATTTTTGATGGTAGGTGCTTTTGCGCATGGAGCCATTTTCTTAGTTCAAGATTACAACCCAGTAACCAATCGGGGGAATGTGCTTGCTCGCGTCTTAGCTCATAAGGAGACAATTATCTCTCACTTGAGTTGGGTCTCTTTATTCTTGGGATTCCACACACTGGGACTGTATGTTCACAATGATGTTGTGGTAGCTTTCGGCCAAGCGGAAAAGCAGATTCTTGTAGAGCCTGTATTTGCCCAACTTATTCAGGCGTCTTCTGGAAAGTTAGTATATAATTTGCAGTGGTGGTTGTCAGACCCTACTCTTGCAGCCGGGGACAGCCTTTTAACTCCTATTTCTAGCGCTCCTTGGATAGATGGCTGGCTAAAACAAGTTAACAGCAACGCCAATTCCATATTCTTAGAGATAGGGCCTGGTGATTTTTTAGTGCATCATGCTATCGCATTAGGACTCCATACGACGACTTTAATTTTGGTCAAAGGGGCATTAGATGCTCGGGGTTCCAAACTTATGCCTGACAAGAATCAGTTTGGCTATAGTTTTCCGTGTGATGGGCCCGGACGAGGAGGTACCTGTGACATTTCCGCATGGGATGCGTTCTATCTAGCCATGTTTTGGATGTTAAATACTATTGGTTGGGTGACTTTTTATTGGCATTGGAAGCATTTAGCAGTATGGCAAGGAAACCCAGCCTTTTTCGACGAATCGTCCAACTACTTAATGGGATGGCTCAGAGACTATTTGTGGCTAAATTCATCTAAATTGATCAATGGGTACAACCCTCTTGGGGTTAACAGCAATGCAGTCTGGGCATGGATGTTCTTATTTGGTCACTTGGTGTGGGCAACCGGCTTCATGTTTTTGATTTCATGGCGAGGGTACTGGCAAGAGTTAATAGAGACGCTAGTGTGGGCGCACGAGCGCACCCCTATTGCTAATCTAATTCGTTGGAGAGATAAGCCAGTGGCGTTATCGATCGTTCAGGCGCGTCTGGTAGGGCTAGCGCACTTTACCGTAGGGTATATACTCACTTACGCTGCCTTCGTCATTGCTTCCACAGAACGCCCTTAAAACTAATTAGTTTGTCAGCAGCAGTTTTCTAATTACCAGCTCGGCGGGAAGCTCATGAGACAAGACCTTTGCTACTTATGGCAGCTTTAAAGCTAGTGGTGTATGCAACCATCAGTTTCTTTATATCTTTATTTGTTTTTGGTCTACTATCCTCTGATCCATCACGCAACCCTTACAACACCTAAACGCAAACAGCTGGCCTGGCTTCCAAATTTGTACAGTTCCAAGCTGCAGAGTGAGTCAAGGGCAACGAAGAGTAACCTACAGGACTAGATAAATTTTATGAAGCAACAGACCGCCATTAAAGAAACACTGCTAACTCCACGCTTTTACACGACAGACTTTGATTCGATGGCTAACTACCAAGTGAACAGAAACTTGTTAGAAATTGAAAGTATTCTCAAAGAGTTGCGGGGCGACTACAACCGTTTTCATTTTATACGAGATAATGAATTCAAACAGTCCTGGTCAACCATGCCCGAGGAGACCAAGCAGCTTATGGTGGAATTTCTTGAACGTTCTTGCACAGCAGAGTTTTCTGGATTTCTACTCTACAAGGAACTGTCCAGGAAATTGGAATCAAAAAACTCGTTGCTCGCAGAAGGCTTTGCCTTATTGGCTCGAGACGAAGCGCGCCACGCAGGGTTCTTAAACAAATGCTTGGGAGACTTTAATGTGGTTTTGGACTTAGGCTTTTTAACCAAGGCAAGGAAGTACACATATTTTTCCCCTCGGTTTATCTTGTATGCAACTTACTTATCTGAGAAAATTGGATATTGGCGCTACATAACTATATATAGGCACTTGCAAGCTAATCCCCACTATCGAATCTATCCTATTTTTAGATATTTTGAAGGTTGGTGCCAAGATGAAAATAGGCACGGGGATTTTTTCGCGGCGGTGCTAAGAGCGCAGCCCCACCTGTTGTCAGGGCCTTTAGCGCGCCTATGGTCGCGGTTTTTCTTGCTGTCAGTTTTTGTAACCATGTATTTAAACGACGCTCAGCGATCCGGTTTCTATGAAGCGCTGGGCCTAAACACAGCTTCGTTTGATCTTCATGTCATGGAGCGAACTAACTACACAGCATCCAAGATATTTCCCATTTCCTTAAATCTGTACAATCCTTTTTTTATCGAGCATTTGGAGAGGTGCTCGAGCTATTATCAAAAACTCATGGATATTGAGGCAGGTAAAGTCAGTCCTCCTAGTATCCTGCCATCCCCAGTTGTTTCTGCAAGTGTTTACAAGACTTTTCTTCAATGCAACATAGCTTGGCAGTTTGTGCGCCTATTCCTTTTAAAGCCACGCCACCGCAAGCGCACGCCTTTCAGCGCTCGTTATGCTTAAATTATTGATTTTTCAGTATTCATGCCGCTTCACTTAACTCCCCTCAAAACTATGGCATTACCCTGGTATAGAGTACATACTGTTGTCTTAAACGACCCGGGCCGTTTAATCGCTGTGCACATCATGCATACAGCTTTAGTGGCGGGTTGGGCTGGTTCCATGGCACTTTACGAACTCTCTGTGTTTGATCCTTCAGACCCGGTACTTAATCCTATGTGGCGACAAGGAATGTTTGTGTTACCCTTTATGGCTAGACTTGGTGTCACAGAATCTTGGAACGGATGGAGCTTACTTGGGGACACGGACCTCGAGGCCGTTCCAATTTATGCTGTGGATGAATCCACTGGCGTCGTCGACCAAATTTTCCAATTCTTAGTGTCTCGAGGACCCGGCATATGGAGTGTGGAAGGCGTAGCAGTGTCTCATATCATTTTATCTGGCCTATTGTTCTTGGCTGCCATATGGCACTGGACCTTTTGGGATCTAGACATTTTCAGAGATCCCGAGAGTAATCAGTTAGTGCTGGACTTGCCTCTTGTCTTTGGTATCCATCTAGCACTGGCAAGTTTCCTTTGTCTAGGATTTGGTGGGTTCCATGTTGCGGGTCTTTTTGGGCCGGGCATTTGGGTGTCCGACGCGTACGGTCTATCCGCTGCTGTAAAACCTGTCCAACCGGAGTGGGGTCCCGATGGGTTTAACCCATTCAATCCGGGTGGGGTAGCTGCTCATCATATCGCCGCCGGAATTTTAGGGATCATTGCTTCGGTATTCCACCTGTCCGTGCGCCCTTCAGAACGTTTGTTCAAACTTCTACGAATGGGAAACATCGAGACCGTGCTTTCGAGCAGTATAGCGGCCGTATTCTTTGCGGCCTTCGTCACATCGGGAACTATGTGGTATGGTAGCGCGACAACGCCAGTTGACCTGTTCGGCCCTACCCGTTACCAATGGGATAGTGGTTATTTCCAACAAGAGGTGGAACGACAAGTTGAAAATAATCTTCGCAGAGGCTATTCTTTGACGGAGGCGTGGTCGTTGGTCCCAGACAAACTGGCTTTTTACGATTATGTAGGAAATAACCCAGCCAAGGGCGGTCTGTTTAGAGCAGGCCCTATGAACAAGGGCGATGGAATCGCTCAAGCCTGGCTAGGTCACCCAATTTTCCGTACTAAAGACGGCAATGAACTTACTGTTAGAAGAATGCCTTCGTTTTTTGAAACCTTCCCAGTCATCCTAGTAGACAAGGATGGTGTAGTCCAGGCTGACATTCCCTTCAGACGAGCTGAGTCGAAGTACAGTATCGAACAAGTAGGAGTTTCGGTGCAGTTTTTAGGCGGAAAACTAAACGGACAGAAATTTGATGATCCGACAACGGTCAAAAAGTTCGCACGTAAAGCTCAATTAGGAGAGATGTTCCAGTTTGACCGCGTGACCTTACAGTCTGACGGGGTGTTTAGAAGCAGCCCTAGAGGGTGGTACACGTTCGGGCACCTGAACCTGGCTTTATTGTTCTATTTTGGACATTTGTGGCATGGCGGCCGTACACTATTCCGAGATGTTTTAACTGGTATTGGAGCGGATGTGGTGAAACAAGTGGAGTTTGGAGCTTTCCAAAAACTTGGTGACGAAACAACAGAGTTGAGTCGATAATTCGACATTTGGCGGGAAGAACCTCATGTTATTTAGCATGTTCAAATGCCAAAAATATCCGTGAGACAAAGAGAATTAAAAAAACAAAACGCGCGTGACACATTTAACAAAAGGCGAAACTACCTCTTGAACGCTCGGACGAGAGTGTGCAGTTTTTCTCAACAGCTGGAAGTCCTAACGGCTTTCGATACTTTGCCGCGGGACAGCAGTGCCGTCCGTCAGTCTAACCGCTGTGGTGTTACAGGCACGTCTAAATCGTATAATCGTTTGACAGGCCTCTCACGACACCAGTTGCGAGAACTGGGACATCAATCCTTGATACCGGGTCTTTTCAAAGCTACCTGGTAGCAGATAATACATTTAGGTTTAATCAGGAGAAACATCTACAGATCCATCGGACTCCTCCAATGTTAGAGAACGTCTTACTAAACGGGCCCCAGGTATTCGACTATCAATGGAAACTAAGTAAAGAGCTTGACTCCGAGGCTTTAACCATACCCTTAAATGAGGCGGGACGTTCCGTTACCCTTACTCTAGAGCAGGTCAAACGGGGGAAGCGCTTATTTAACGCTTCTTGCAGCACTTGCCATACCGGAGGCGTAACGAAGACCAACCAAAACGTTGGTCTAGACCTCACAGCTCTAAAAGGCGCTCAGCCACGTAGAGACAATATTGAAGCCTTGATTAATTATATGAAGGACCCTAAAAGCTATGATGGAGTGGAATCTTTATCAGAACTTCATCCCAACGTCACGAACGCTGATATATTTCCAAAAATGCGTAATCTGACAGAAGACGACTTGTTTGCTATAGCCGGGCATATCTTGTTACAGCCGAAGTTAGTTTCAGAAAAGTGGGGAGGGGGGAAGGTTTATTATTAAGATAAGCTGCTTCTGTTTTTGTTTGTGATTTTGAGTGCATTCATGAATAGAATGACGGGCTAAACAAGTTTTTATGGGCTACAGTTGGATGACACAGTCTTGGCTAGCTTTTACCAACATGTCGTTTCTGGCACAACTAGCCGGGTTTACCCTGGCGCCCTGGCTAAAATGTTCTAAAGTCTTTTCTGTGACTAGCCGTTTTTGCCTGTGGGTTCTTTTGGAATGTTTTTTGGTTTGGTTTCTTTTAAGGTGCGTGTGGTACCACACTGTCCCTCTGGCTAGTCTCTACGAATCGTTTTGTGTACTAGCTCTGCTTATTTGTGCGCTGAACTTGCTAGTGTTAGGACCGACGTCACGCCTCAAAAGAATTAGCCCTTGGCTGGCTCTGGGAATCACGATTTTGTTAGGAGGAGTTTTACTGTTCGTAGACTCGGCTCTTCCTGTGGCTATGCAACAGTCAAATGGGCCTCCTCAAAGTCTCCGAGCTCCTTGGCTAAGTGTCCATGTGAGCATGATGATTGTAAGCTACGCCTTTTTAACCACCGGCTCACTCGCTGTTCTAGGAGGAATCTACGCCATTCGATATGTTCTAAAAACCAGGCCCAATTCTTCGGAATCGACCAAAGTTTTTAATTTTCTTAACTAACAGTAACAGGTCCAGACGCCACTAGTCTCGGTGCGAAGAACCTCTAACGGCTTTTAATTTTAGGCAAATGGAGGATCTTGGAATGCCTTCTGAAGTTATGCTTGGGTGGGCTTTGCTGTGTGCGGTTACCGCTATGTCAATCGCTCTCACCGTATGGGGGCGCAACGGGCTGTAAAATAGATTTTCTCGGTATGGTCAGGCTGACCACTTTCTGGAGTTAGACTTTATTAGAAGTTATGTAAATTTGTGACATATTTTTAAACACCTTCATGATCTTATGAATTCAAGCCTTTTTGAAGTTTTGTGCAAACTTCCAGAAACTTACCAATTCATGGCTCCGGTCATCGATGTCTTGCCTGCGGTCCCTGTTTTGTTCCTACTACTGGCTTTTCTTTGGCAAGCAGCCTTCTCCTTCAGATAAGTTTCACCCTCTCTGACAAATAAAGGAGCGTCCTTAGTTCAGGGGTAGAACGCGGGTCTCCAAAACCCGATGACGAGGGTTCAAATCCTTCAGGGCGTGAAGAGCCAATAAGTTTGTGAAGCTGCTTCTAAGAATAGGTCTTGGAAAAGAAGTAGAGTTGCTAGATTCTGGGGGTAGAGGGACTTGAACCCTCAAGACTGCAATAGTCAACGGATTTTCACTACATAGTCATTAAGAGGGCAAATGAGGACTCGCCATTTACAAATCTATACTCTGGAGAAGTCTCTGCACCACTTAACATTTAACTCGAAAACGTGGAGGCACTGTTTTATGGCCAGCTGTGTGAATTCAGTGCATTTACAGAGGTGACCTAAAGGTCCCTTCAAAGTCCGTCGTGTTTACCTATTTCACCATACCCCCCAGGCGGCACCCAGACTCGAACTGGGGAATAGAGGATTTGCAATCCTTTGCCTTACCGCTTGGCTATGCCGCCGAAACATCAGGATTTGTCTATGTGCGCGAGAGAAGGGCGAATGACGGGATTCGAACCCGCGAGTACTGGATCCACAGACCAGCGCCTTAACCACTTGGCTACAAACGCCTTTTTGTTGTTTGGTCAGAGCAAATCGCTATGCAAAAGATTCCAGAACCAGCATGGGGTCTACTTTGAGAAGCAATTCTCGCGGCTTGATGTTTCGGAGCACCAAGATTTTCAGATTTCGGGGACAAACTTTTGCATATTCCGAGACTGGGGTCAAAGCAGAGAAGCTTTTGTTGAAAGTGTTGGCTGCTCGTTTGGTTCGAGTTGCTAGGACGTGACGGCTTACCAATCTTCGACTTTCCACTCTAGGAGCAATACAAATAAGGTCACCCTGCTTGCACCGGTACCCAGGTAACGAGACAACACGTCCATTTACAAAAACGTGGCCGTGACGAATTAACTGTCGTGAACTTCTTATAGATACAGCAAACCCTACTTGAAACAAAAAGCTATCCAAGCGCATGGCCAACTCACAGAGAAGAGCTAAGCCAGACGGTCCCGGGTATTTGCGTGTCTCCGCGACATAACGTTTAACCTGAGACTGTGTCAGGCTGTGATGATAGCGCAGGCGCTGTTTCTCTATGAGTCGACGCACCGATATTTTGGAGTCCTTCGTCAAGTCTAGAGACCGAGACCGCGGCTTCTCTTGGAAGCGTGGGTGAGAAGTAAGTTGGAGTTTCCGCAAAGTCTTTTTTTTGAGCTGAATTTTCATTTTTTAGGAAGAGTTTTGATTCTTCACACCAGTCTAAGCACCTTTAATCAGTTGTGCCTGAAGTAACCGCTTTGGAGCAAGTTTAAAGTCTAGTGCATTTCGTCTCTTCTTCTCCTTTCTAGCACATTTGGTTAAGTGTGTCGACCTGTCAAAAACAACATGTCCAAAAAACTCATAGGTAAGGTCAAACTAGCTTTATCGGCGGGGAAAGCCACGCCTTCGCCCCCTGTCGGGCCGGCTCTTGGGTCTTTCGGAGTTAATCTTGCTTCTTTTTGTAAACAATATAACGATCAGACTAGTTCTATGACAAACACGATTGTGCCTGCGGAGATCACTATATATGATGACCGCAGCTTCACTTTTGTGCTAAAGACTCCTCCAACCTCTCTTTTGATTCTTCAAGCCGTTTCAATTAAGAAAGGGTCTGCTAATCCGAAACAAAGCCCAGCGGGACGCTTAACTCAACAGCAACTGGAGGAAATAGCTAGACAAAAGTTGCCAGATTTGAACACGGAAAATTTAGAAGTAGCCAAAAAGATTGTTTCAGGCACTGCTCGCAACATGGGGGTTTCAGCTATGCCGGCCACTGATTAGTGCGTGAAAGCATCTCAATGGGCGTTTGATTAGCCGAAAAGACATATTAAGCTAGGTGTGGTTTGGAACGTTATGGGTTGTTTATGCACCAGGTTTTGATTTACGACACCTGCATCGGCTGCACTCAATGTGTCCGAGCGTGCCCAACAGATGTGCTGGAAATGGCTCCTTGGCCGGGATGCAAGGCTGGACAAATGGCCTCTGCTCCAAGGCTCGAGGACTGTGTGGGCTGTAAAAGGTGCGAGTCTGCCTGTCCGACGGATTTTCTTAGTATACGCGTTTATTTAGGTGATGAAACTACTCGAAGCATGGGATTGGCCTATTAGCAGGGCCAGGTGTTTTCAAGCACAGTAGAACGTTAAACAATATGACTCAAAAAGCGAAGCAAAACGATGACCTAACATACCACATCGCCCCATTTAGTCAGGAATTATTGTGGCTTATTTATGATGCTAGCCTCATTGCGGACTACACATATGCAGATCTCATATATCCCTCACACCTCCTTGGTGCTGCTCTTTGGAACCAAGACAACCTTTTGCGTCGATCAAACGTTAACAGTGTAGAAGATGTCCTTTTTGCAGTTCAACGGTCGTACTTTGCCCAAGTGCCTTTTCGTGTTTATGAGCCAAACCCATTCTTTGCTGAAGTGAGACATGTGATTAGCGAAGAAATGGAGAGGGCAAGGCATGGGAGGAGTGAGGATTACATGACTGGATGGAATTTATATTTTGATTTGGAATGGAGACTATCCTCTGGAGCCAGTGATTTGTTGCGCCGAACTACCTTTGCAGTGGACAGAGACGGCACGAAAACACAGTACGTGAACTGTTTCGATCTCATGGGGATACTGTTAAAGGAAAGTGAAAAGTATCCCGATGTACGACAGGCTCTCCCTTTTCTTAATATTTCTAAACATCAACTTCTTTCTTACTTTAGTTTAAATTATGCTCCAGTTCCGACCCCTTCTCGGGGCAAACTAGACTTGTGGGGTAATCAAATAAGTGTACTCGAAGACAAATGGATTATAGGAAGATCTGAAGAAGTAACACGTTTAGTTAAGGTGTTATCGCGCAAGCAAAAACGCAACGCTATTTTAGTAGGAGATCCTGGAGTGGGAAAAACCACTATTCTAGAGCTTCTAGCCAAGAGAATTGAGTCAAAACAAGTACCGGCTGATCTTCAGCAAACGGTTTTGTGGAATTTGAACACTTCATCATTAGTAAGCGAAGCCCAGTTCAGAGGAGACCTTGAGCAAAAAGTAAACTCTCTGATTGCAGAACTAGAGAAGCAACCGGAAGTGGTTCTGTGCATAGAAGACATCCATGCTTTAGTAGGCATGGGCGCATCAGAGGGTGGGCTATCGGCTGGAAGCATTTTGAGAGAAGCCTTGTCCAATAATAGATTAAAGTTAATAGGCACAACAACTTACGCTGAGTACAAAAAACAGCTGGAGAAAGACCAGGCTTTCGTGCGATGGTTCGAGGTTATATTTATTCAAGAGCCTTCGCTTAACCAGACTAGAGACATTCTAGTCGGCTTTAGAGATGATTTTGAAAAGTATCACAAGGTCATCATACCTAATACTATGCTTGAAAAGTGCTTGGAGCTAAGTCAGCGCTATCTGACTGCCAGACCATTCCCAGACAAAGCTATTGATTTACTTGATTTTGCGTGCCTGGAGGCTAGACTGGAGCACGAGCAGAAATACCAGTTGCCCTTATCACAAAGTGATGGCTATGTGGAACAATTGCTAGAAACCAGCAAACAGGCCATTGAGTCGTATCTAAGAAGAGAAGAGTACGAATTAATCTTGCCGTGGAAAAAATTTGAACAATTCCTTCTGCGTCAACAAACTGATAAAGATTACCTGGCAGCCCTTCAGTATCCCGCAGTGTCTGCATCGCATTTAGCCAACGTTCTGTCACTGTGGAGTGGAGTTCCCACGGCTGAGATTTCTAGTGATGAAGAGGCTAAAATGACCACGTTAGAGTCTAGCTTACAAAAACGCGTCATAGGACAAAACAGAGCCGTGTCCATTGTGGCTGATGCCGTGCGGCGAGCTCGACTAGGGTTTCAAAATATAGGGCGACCTTTGGCCAGCTTCTTCTTTGCAGGGCCGACGGGAGTAGGAAAAACCGAGCTTGCCAAAGCTTTATCTGAAAGTCTTTTTGGCTCGGATGCTAATCTGGTTAGATTCGACATGAGCGAATTCATGGAGAAACACTCGACATCCAGATTAATAGGCTCTCCCCCTGGATATGTGGGTTATGGGGAGGGAGGGCAGCTTACCGAGGCAGTAAAAAAACAGCCCTATAGCGTCGTTTTATTCGATGAGATCGAGAAGGCGCATGAGGATGTATCGAATGTTATGCTGCAAATATTGGATGACGGGCGACTCACGGATTCCACTGGTCAGAAAGTTGACTTTACTAATACTATTCTTATATTCACATCGAACCTAGGCTATCCAAAAGACGTTCAAGAAGAGTCTCTTCATGAAGAAAAAACCTATCGTTATATTTCTGGACGTGTTCAAGCTGCCTTGGAAAAATACTTCAGGCCAGAGTTTATTAACCGTATCGATAGAATGGTAGTTTTTAACAACCTGTCTTTTAATGAACTAACCTCTATCTTGGACAAATACATCAATGAACTGAGACAGAAACTTAATGCCGCGAAACAACCAGTAGTCCTTAATGTTACAAACGAAGCCAAAGAACTAATAGTGAAAGCGGGCTATCAGCCAGGTTACGGAGCCCGTCCTCTAGCCAGAGCTCTTAGTCGGATGGTGGAAATTCCACTGAGTAATTTGTTGTTCAAGTATTCACTCAAGCAGCCTCTATTAGCTAGGTTTTCCACAGACAGACTGACCAAGGACTTGACCTTGACTGTGAGTGCATTAAACCTCAGCCCGCAGGAAGCTTAGTTTGACTTTTCACTACATATTGCGAGGATACTGTACATTTAAGATTGTCTCTTCAGTCCTCAATCCCCACTCGAATGAAACTGGCGTACTGGATGTATTCTGGACCAGCTCACATCGGCACGCTTCGAATCGCTACCTCGTTCAAGGGGGTTCATGCGATCATGCACGCACCCTTGGGTGACGATTATTTTAATGTCATGAGGTCCATGATGGAACGACAGAGGGACTTTACCAAAGTCACGGCTAGTGTGGTGGACCGTCATGTGCTGGCTAGAGGGTCTAAAGATAAGGTGGTAAGTAACATAGCTCGTCAGCGTCGAGAAAACAAATCTGACTTAATTGTGGTGACTCCCACCTGCACATCCAGCATTTTGCAAGAAGATTTGCACAACTTTGTTCACCGAGCCTCGCTAGAAACCAATTGTGACGTGTTACTGGCAGACATCAACCACTATCGTGTGAACGAGTTGGAGGCGGCAGATAAGACTCTTCAACAAATTATTAAACTCTATGTCCAACCAAAATTCCAAGGAGTTCCAGACGCCCCGACAGTTAACATCATCGGATCATTTAGCCTAGCTTTTCACAACCAACACGACATTATTGAAATCAAACGGCTCCTGCAAGACTTGCAGATACAGATTAATCTTGTTGTTCCGGGAAACCTTGCAGTAACCGACTTAACGAAGATGTCTAATGCATCTCTGAACATAGTCTTGTACAGGGAAATTGGACTTTTAGCAGCCGAATGGCTGCAGGCTGAGACAGGAATTCCTTATATTTCAATTTCTCCTATTGGGATTTCCAATTTGACCGATTGGGTTGCTGAGTTGGAGCAGCAGCTTAAAAAGCTGAACTATGACGTTGACTTCCAAGGCTATATTGGCAGACAGACCAAATTTCAGTCTCAAGCCGCTTGGTTTGCTCGTTCCATTGACTGTCAAAATTTAACGGGAAAAAAAGCGTTCGTGTTTGCAGACTCGAGTCACGCGTCTGCTTTTGCTAGAGTGTTACACTCTGAACTAGACGTAAGAGTTCTAGTTTGTGGGACATATTGCCAACACGACCATTTATGGTTCAAGGCTTTTGTAGAGAATTTTTGCGATCAAGTCCTTTTAACCGACCACTCGAGCCTGGTGTCTGATTTTATTGTCAAAGCTCAGCCCGATGCCATCTTTGGAACGCAAATGGAACGTCACATTGGAAAAAAACTTGGAATCCCTTGTGCGGTGATTTCAGCCCCTATTCACATTCAAAACTTTCCAATCGGCTACAGGCCTTTTGTTGGATACGAGGGGGTGAACCAGATTGCTGACCTAATCTACAATTCTTTTGTTTTGGGGATGGAGGATCATCTGCTAGATATTTTTGGGGGCCACGACTCACCCGCCGCAGCAACGCCGCAGAATTCAGACTCCATGCATGAATGGTCAGAACCGGCTAAACTACACTTACAAAAGATTCCGGCCTTCGTACGATCTAAAATTAAGCAGCAAGTTGAAGCTTATGCTTCAAGCGTTAACCAAAACCAAATTACCCTCGAACTAATGTACGAAGCTAAAGAGCGAGCCCCTTCGTTCTCCGCAGCGGGGCGACTAACTGGGACTGGTTCATAACGTATATGCTGCTAAATAAACATGTGATGAGTAATTTTCAATTTAATCAGCTTTCAGTATATGTCTCTTGCACCCATGGATATATTTAAAAATAGCGCTGGTCTATATAAGTCACCCCGCATTCCTTACATTAAAAACCTACCTTATGCAGCAACTCTAAACATTGAAAGCACCGGCTTTGCTTGGTGGGCTGGCAATGCTCGTTTAATTGATGAGAGGTACGCTAATAGACTTCTGGGTGCTCATGTGGCCCACGCTGGCTTGATTGTCTTTTGGGCCGGGGCTATGACTTTGTTCGAGGTGTCACATTACATTCCTGAAAAGCCTCTCTACGAACAAGGAGCTATCCTCTTACCTCATTTAGCTACGCTTGGCCTAGGAGTAGGTCCAGGTGGAGAGATTGTAGACACTTACCCATATTTTGTGGTAGGAGTGGTGCATCTTATATCGTCGGCTGTGCTTGGTTATGGTGGAGTGTTTCACTCTCTGTTTGGACCAGCTAGCTTGAAAAAGTTTCCTATCTTTGAGTACGACTGGCGTGACAAAGATAAGATGACTACTATTCTTGGTTACCACCTGGTTTTGTTAGGCTTAGGATCACTGTCTTTAGTTTTCTGGGCGCAAACGCATGGCGTTTACGATACGTGGGCCCCAGGAGGCGGAGATGTGCGTGTGATAGATACGCCGACGCTTGATCCCGCAACCATCTTTGCGTACACACTAAAAGCTCCTTTTGGAGGGGATGGGTGGATTATTTCTATCAATAATATGGAGGACCTTATTGGTGGTCATATCTACGTGGGCGTTTTGTGTATAGTAGGGGGCTTCTTCCACTATTTTAGTGACCCGGCTCCATGGGTTCGTCGTGCCTTTATCTGGTCTGGTGAAGCATACTTATCATACAGTTTGGGCGCCCTATCTGTTATGGGACTGACTGCGTCTATTTATGTGTGGTTCAATAACACGGCTTACCCAAGTGAATTCTATGGTCCTACAGGCGCGGAAGCTTCTCAAGCTCAAGCTTTTTCGTTTTTGGTTCGTGACCAAAAATTAGGCGAAAATGTGGCTACTGCACAAGGTCCCACAGGTCTAGGAAAATACTTGATGCGTTCTCCGAGCGGCGAGGTTATTTTTGGTGGCGAAACCATGCGCTTCTGGGATGTTCGAGCGCCATGGATCGAGCCTCTAAGAGGACCTAATGGTTTAGATATCAATAAAATCCGTTCTGATATCCAACCTTGGCAGGAACGTCGTGCCGCTGAGTATATGACACATGCTCCTTTAGGGGCGCTAAATTCTGTCGGAGGCGTAGCTACAGAAATAAATTCTGTAAACTATGTTTCTCCTCGCTCATGGCTAACTTGCGCTCACTTCTTCCTAGGATTTTTCTTACTAGTAGGACACTGGTGGCACGCAGGCCGAGCTCGAGCTCAGGCTGCAGGCTTTGAAAAAGGAATTGACAGAGCGAATGAACCAGTTTTATCTATGAAGCCCATCGACTAAATCTAAATTTTTGCTTACTAGTTAGCGGACAACCATTTTGTAAACTAGATTGAAGGCGAGAAGAAAATGTCAGTTTGGCTATGACCATGAGTGTGAACTTTGACTTGTCATTTCCTATTTATGCACAACAAGCTTACGCCAATCCACGCGAAGCTAATGGACGAATCGTGTGCGCCAACTGTCACCTAGCTGCCAAGCCCGTAGAAGTGGAGACTGTACAGGCGGTTTTTCCAGACTCTAGCTTCGCAGTGAAAGTTACGGTTCCTTATCCCCAAAACGCAGAACAGCTGTTGGGCGATGGGTCGAAAGGGCCTGTAGGCGTAGGTGCCGTGGTTATTTTGCCGGAAGGTTTTAAGCTGGCGCCCGCCGACCGTACACCAAAGGATGCACGTTTTTCAAACTCTGTCATTCCATATGGGCCAGAGGCGGATAACATTTTAGTTGTGGGGCCGGTCTACGGAGAAGCCAACCGTGAACTCTACTTCCCTGTTGTGTCGCCTTCAGACGACGCACTGGGGCAAAAATACACCATTTACGTAGGAGCCAATCGCGGTCGTGGTCAAGTGAATCCTAACGGGGACAAAACCAACAACAACTTGGTTACTGCTCCAGCCAATGGGGAGATTACTGATGTTCAGCGAAAGCCTAACGGTGAGTGTGTCATAAGCTTAAAAACTGGCAGTGGAGATACGTTGACACAAAAGGTGCCTCGGGGCATCGATCTAGCAGTGTCTAAGGGACAGCTAGTGAAAGTTGACCAGCCTCTTACACTAGATCCGAATATAGGAGGCTTTGGGCAATCAGAAGCTGGTATCGTGCTCCAGAAGAAAAATCGTTTAGTGGGGCTGTTCATATTTTGTGTGGGCATAACCTTGGCCCAAATTTTTCTGGTTTTGAAGAAAAAACAGTACGAGCGCGTTCAGCTTTGGAGCATGTAAGTCCTGAATAACAGTCCTGTTTTGGTGAGAAGAACATGGTCTTCACAAGGCAACGGCTTGCCATGGGGCATTTTCTGGCTGTTCTAGACACTTCGACCTTGGGGCTGTTCGATTTTGATTGCACCTTGCTAGGAACTGCTCTAACTTTGTTGCTGGGAGAATTTATATATGGGAAAGTGGTTTTAATCAGCAAAGCCTCTTTCACTAGAAACCAGTCTTTTGTTCGAACTTTGATGTTTACTCCTTACAACAGATCTTTGTTGGCGCTTAAAGATGGGTGGGACGAGATTTCTGCTTTTGTGGCTAGCAAGTTTAGGTATGGTCTGAAGGCTATCTTAGTGCATGCCTCTTTATCTAGCCAGGCCGTTAGGCTACTGGGCGAACAGAGCTTCAGTTCACATCTATTTCTGTCTTCTGCAGTGGATCTAGAGGTTAAAAATAGTTAGCACGGAAAGTTCAGATTGCTACTCAGTGAAGTATGTCTCGAAGAGTCTATGAAAAAACTTAACAAGCAACCAGATTTCACGGATGTAAAGTTTCTGCGCAAACTTTCTAAAGGCATGGGGTATAGCAGTTTTGGGGAGCCTGCGTGGCCTAATGACCTGCTTTATATGTTCCCTGTTGTTATCTTAGGCACGTTAGGAGTATGTGTATGTTTAGCAGTTTTAGAGCCTTCTGAAATTGGCGAACGAGCGGATCCTTTCGCGACTCCACTAGAAATTCTTCCGGAGTGGTACTTTTTCCCAACATTTAATCTGCTTCGAGTGCTGCCAGACAAGCTACTGGGGGTTCTAGCTATGGCTGCTGTGCCAGCCGGCCTAATTTTAGTACCGTTCCTAGAAGCAAACAGTCGTCAAAACCCTTGGCGACGTCCCGTTGGTCTTTTGACTTTTGTTTTCGGGTTCTGGTTATCTCTGTTATTAGCTATGGGAGCTGTGATGCCTATTGACAAGGCGCTGAGTTTAGGCATTCTTTAGATCCTCTAGGCTGTAAAGTGACAGGAAGTCGCGGGCGTAGTTTAGTGGTAGAACCTCAGCCTTCCAAGCTGATGGTGCGGGTTCGATTCCCGCTGTCCGCTGGTCATTTAACTTTCGAAGGCTTTTTTGTCTGTCCCATTCAAGATGTCGTATAATTATATCTCGAGTACAATTAATCTGTCTGTTTCTAGCATGCACAAACTCAGATTTCAACGATTGGGCCGAACCTATTCTCCAGCCTATCGTTTAGTTGCTATAGCGTCTAGATATCCTCGATCTTCGGCCGGGAGGGCCTTTCTGGGTAATTATCAACCCATGCACGGCACAACTATTTCTGTCCACATGAACCAAACTCTTAAGTATCTCAAACTAGGCTCTCAGTTTAGCTCAAACAGCTTGCGTCCCGTACTTCAATACCTGAAATTTAAAAGCCAGCTGGTGAAAAACTAAGGTCTGTCTCCTTGGTGGCGGGCGTTGTGGAGAGATGGCGGAGGTGGTCGATCGTGTCTGACTTGAAATCAGAAGAACTTTAACAGGTTCCGTGGGTTCGAATCCCACTCTCTCCTACCATGATTACATCAATGTTGTTTTATATAGGCTGCGCTTGTTCAAGGATAGACGCCACAACAGAAGGGTTTACCCTAAAAGACGCTGGACTGCTTTAATTTAACTCTAAGCCATGGTTAAGTCTCCTACTCCAAGGTTAGAAAAACACAAGAAACGTTTAGCTACAGCTCGCGGATTCGTTTTGGCCAGGTCCAGGCTGCGTCGGAACATCCGGCAGCAGTGGCTCCACGCAGGCCAGGCTGCTTACGTAGCTTTGAAGCTTAAAAAGCGCGTTACCAAGAAATCTCGTACTAAGCTTCTAAATTTGTTTTTGCGCACCAAAGGAATTTATTACTCTCGATTCAAAAGCCAGCAGAAAAGGCAAGGGATCGCTCTTAATGACCAAACAGTCTTAGACATGGTTTTGAATTTTCATGCTAACTCTTACATTTATAAAACCCTGGGCTCGCGGAGATAGCTGGCTACGGGCTGTCTGGGCTTAAAGATACAAAGCTAGAAAAGTTAACTAGTAGTGTATTTACCACATACCTTTCTCTGAGCTCGCTTTCTGGTCCATGAAAAATAAATTGGATACTAAAAACATTAAGGCTATGATTAAACGTCACTATCAATCCTTGAACGATTCCCACGGGATGGGAGCAGACTGGACCCAGTCATTAACACACTCCTCGTTAAGACAACACACGAACAACAGAACTTTTACTCGTGAAGCTAGACGACAGAAGATAAACGTTTACAGACGCCAGAGCTATGAGAAAGTTTTTTCCACAGCCTTAAAAATGTGGGAATTTCAGGCGCCTAAAAAAGAGGAGTCATAGCTTTTCCTTGCTTTCCAGCTCTGTGGGACCATCAAGCTAATGTGGTATAAACATGCTAGAGTGAATGAGACGTCCGATAATCTTCCCAATCTTTGGTTTAAAGACTCTTTATCGGAATGTTTCGCTAATGTTTTTCCCTCACAGCTTCAATTCGGCGAATTGAATATTTGTTTTATGCCAGCTAATTTCCATGTACGCGTTTGTTGGGAATCATCTAGCGTATGGGACCCCAGTCAGTCAGCGGGGCTTACTCGAAGCCAGCTAGCTTCTGTCTTTGTACCTGTCAGGGTTGTCGACGAACTCACTGAACATTCTCGTACTTTGACTGACTGTGTGGGTAGTTTCCCACTTCCGTTATCGACAGGGTCTATCGTCTACAGCCATATTCCTAGAGCCTTTATTTTAAAGTCTATGAAGCGAATGGGGTTTGACTATAAAACAGATCTAGAGAACAATCATCGTTTACGCTTGAAATTTCCAGGCTTAGGTGAGATGGTTTTCTTTTATGACTTGCTAGATACTTTAGGAACTGTTTGGACTGGAGTTGCGTTAACCAGTTTGAATAAAAGCACTCAAAAATTGCAACGATGCCAGCTTGGCCTTTCGGAGTTTCTAAGGCTGCAAGGCATCCATGTAAACCAAATCGCCTATCACTCTAAATATGCGCACTACTTTGTTCATTGTATTTTCAGCCCTAATAGCTTTGTTTACCCTTTTCGGGGCTCCTTAACCACACGGGCTAGCCGCTCAAGGTCGAAAGGCGTCAGAGGTCAAGCCATTCCGCTTAAAGCCACCTTACCCGCTCAGCCTACCAATCAAATCCAGAGTCGACTTAGCTCGGATAAAAATAGTACAGCACTCTACTGCTCCAAGTACGACTTGCTACATGTTTTGGATGTTTTTTTTGATAGCATAGTGGGGGGCCGTTCCTCCATCAATACGGACCACATGGGCCATCGAATCGTTTCCACTTGGAACTTTGCTTTGTTAGAGTGTATCCAGTCTGTCTTGAGCCAGGTTTTCAGCACGGGGGACTTGCTAGTCTCTGAACCAGATCCATCAGGTTCCCGAACCACCTGCGACACAGACGAGGAACTTCCTGAAAGTTTAACTAAAGCCTTTAAAACCATGAACCAAAAGGTAATGGATGGAATTTATGAGATTCTTACCGTCAACCCTTTATCACAGTATTTAGATCAAACCAATGTCTTGGCCGAGTATGTACACTTGCATAAGCTCAGCTCGAAAGCTCTCGGAGGGTCTAGCCCAACCGCCCTATTGAGAGACGTAGCTCCTAGTTCCTTCGGGAAATTATGCTCTTTATATACCATCGATGGCGAAAACGCGGGCACCGTTAACCAATACGCGTCCTTAGCGCGGGGAAGTCAGGGAGGCGAGCTCAAAACCATTGTAAGGCTAGCTCCTCGCGGCTCTTGTCATACGGACCGAGTGGCTCTTGTGAATACGATAGAGTTAGAAGAAACTCCCGTTTCTATTCATCCACTAATATGGCGGCGTTCGGAAGTTTCAGTTTTACCACGAGCTGTGGTGCAAGAGCGAAACGAATTCAAAACTCGGGAGATCACCAAGGTGAGCCTTTTTTGTCCTGACTCAACTAGTTTTCTGGCTCCACAAGTAAATCTTATTCCGTTCTTGTGGCACGATGATCCAACACGATGTTTAATGGGAGCTAACATGCAACGCCAGGCCGTATCACTTCTTTCGGCTCAAAAAAGTGTGGTTAGTACCGGTATGGACACACTTCTTTCTAGCTTAAACGGAAATGGCTTACACAGTTTAACGGAAGGGGTGGTTACTTGTGTGACGCAGAATGCTATTTACATGCGAGACAGCTTCAATCGGGAGCTGCGGTATTTGTTTCCATTTACTATCAGCAACCAGAAGCAAATTCGCCACTACTATCCAGTGGTTTGGGAGGGCGAGAGAGTTTTTCCTGGCCAACTTCTGGCCCAGAACCAAGGGGTGCATGAAGGAGAGCTTTGTTTGGGGCAAAATCTGTTTGTGGCTTATGCCTCTTGGTATGGCTACACCTATGAAGACGCTATATTACTCAATGAGCGATTAGTATATGAGCGTACTCTGACGTCTGTGAGCATGGCGCAGAAAGACGTCATGCTTGAAGAGCACGAAGAGATAACTAGTTTTTTACCTGGTGTGGATTTTAAAGATCTTTGTTTGTTGAATCAAGTGGGAATAGCTCCTTTAGGATCTTTGGTTGAACGGGAAATGGCGATCATTGGTAAAGTCGGGTTCAACTATCGCTCTATTGCACAGTATGAAACACCGTCTCTCCTAAGCAAGCCACTAACTGCCTTATTGACTGTTTTATTAGGTTATGACCCGAAACTAATGTTCTCTAATGCTTCTGTTGTAGGGGATCGGTCTTTCTCCGGATCGTTGCTCTATTTTGCTTTGTTATTAGTGAAGGACGCGCAGTTAGGTCTGGATGATCTTCCCGTGTTTCGATGTGTCTTAGGTAAGTTCAGGCATATTGAAGCTGGCGATAAGCTTTGTGGGCGCCATGGAAATAAAGGGGTAGTCTCTGCAATTTGGCCTCAGGCTGATTTTCCTTATACGGCAGATGGTCTTATTCCAGATATTTTGGTGAGTCCTTTAGGTGTGCCGTCTAGGATGAATGTAGGACAAATTCTGGAGACTCTGTTTGGTCTCACAGGATTTTTTTCAGACTCTAGGTGTAAAGTCAATGTGTCCGCGGAGAACGACTATGAGATCAGACATAAACGAAATGTTCTTTATCACAAGCTAAACAGCGTACAGGAATATAGCAACTATAAGACCCTCTTTAATCCTTTTGTGCCTGGGAAAGTCCTGCTCCGAGACGGCCGAACAAGCAGGGCTGTATTCGGAGGATCAGTGCTGGGACTATCCTACATTTTTAAATTGACTCACATGGTTCAGGACAAAATTACCGCTCGATCGCAAGGAGTGTATGCCGAGATCACGCAGCAACCGGTTAGAGGAAAATGGAAACTGGGTGGCCAAAGGTTTGGAGAGATGGAAGCTTGGGCTATGGAGGCGTTTGGGGCAGCCTACGAATTGAGAGATTTGCTAACGTTGAAATCCGATGCCACTGGGTATCGGGACATTGCCTACGAGACCATCTTTTTCGACCAACTAAATCCTCGTTCCTCCGAAATGGGGTTTCCCGAGTGCTGGCACGTTTTAGTTAAACATTTAAATTCTCTGGGCATCGAAACTTCTACCTAGTTTGTTCAGGTTACAGCTGGGTCAACAGGAAAAGAATTAGATGGCAGGTCTTATGGAGGCCCGTTCTCACTTAAAAATTGGACTGGCTTCTCCAAAAACTGTAGAAGCCTGGGCTTCTTATGGTTTTAAAGATTATACTTTTTGGCTACGAGAAGTAACCAATCCGAAACTTCTAGATGATTCGGGCCAGCCAGTGTTAGGAGGCCTCTTTTGTCAACGTATTTTTGGCCCAGTCTCTGCCTACAGTTGCATGTGCAGCCCCCCTCGGGACGTGAGCTTGAGCGGTGAAAAAGTTTTTATCTACGAAGAATTCGCTGAGATGTCGAGACAGGCAACCTTATGTTCCGTATGCGGAGTTGAAGTAACTTCTCCTTGGGTTAGAAGGTACCGTATGGGGGCCATTTGTCTGGTAGAGCCTGCCACCAACATACTATACTTAACCTACATTAGATCCGTTCTGAATCTCACTGCCCAGCAGCTGAAGCGGCTTATATTTTTTACGGACTTTACTAGCTATACACATAGAACTAAGTCCACAGAGCTAGAGCTGAGTCTTTTCGGAGGCCGGCATTTATATTTTTTGCTAAAAGAAGGGCAGTCCCATCTGATTCATGACTATAAAGAATTGCGAGACGCCCTGCTCACCAGAGAAACGCCCAGCAAGCGCCAAACTACTTTAAGTCGCGTAAAAAATTTACACTTTTTCATAGTAGGTTCCGCCCAGTTATCTTGGATGATCTTGCAGACGTTACCAGTGCTACCACCACGACTACGCCCATTCCTAAGAATTAAAAACCAATGGACCTTTTCCGAACTAAATGATCTCTATCGAACTGTCCTCATGCGCAATAATCGATTGCTTCACTATAGAACTTATTACTCTGAATCTGAAAAAGTGGTAAAACCACTTTTTCCTGAATCTGCTAAGATTT